ATATTTATTACCTGGCTGAAAATTTACACACTTGCCTTTAATGTCTTCCTGTTTGCAAATCGATTTTCTCGATAATATAGGACAATTGAGGCTGTGTGCTATATTTACATTGTAAATTATCAATTTTATCTTCATTTATTCGAATAATTTTATAAAATATAAATCTGTGGACGATTAAATGCAGTTATTGCCCTAATATTACATCTTCTTACATATTCCAATATTTAATGTTATAAGCATGTTTCTATTCTATTTTATTTCACTGTACAGAAAATAGATAATATGTTTACTATATATCGATGTATATCGCTTTTTAATTTTTAATTGTTACAATGGGATTAAACTATGGTAGTGTTCAACCTTTTTTTCCTGAATACTTATTAATGGATATTCTTGCATAAAAATGTTTCTGCTTGTTCAGTTTGAACAGAAGTGAATGAATGGTATATAAACAAATTTTTGTACTCCTAATGTATGCTGCTTTTTTTCTTTTATTAACGACGGCGTCACTTTTTTTTCATCTCCCAGCGGTTCTTTCTTGCGGACCCGAAAAATGAACGCAAACGACCAGATTCGCACGAAAGCGTGGCTGATGCCGTGGGCATACTCTCTCAATTTTCCACGAAAATCATTTGTCTAAATTACAGGATGAGTCTTTCTTCTCTCTCCCTTTTTCGCTCTCTTTCTCGCCTGTTTGTTATTTGTAATGTATATATATTATAGAAAAAAAAGCTATGAAAGTGGCATTTGCGTGCCACATTGTACTCGATTCCGGTGATTCTAGAAAATGTATTATCCGCTGAAAAAATGTAGGAGATCGCAGACAGAAACTGGTCAATGGCCTTACAGGAAACTGTTCCAAATTTTTCGCAGACGCATGTTTGACACTTACGAACAGCTAGCGATGAAATGAGAGAGAAAGAAATATTCTCCGTTCTATTTTAGAGAACGGAATATAGAATATGCTTATTTGCTTGAAATGTTAAAAGATGCAAATGTCTACAATTTATTTTTTATCCTTTTTCCTGCGTCATATTTTCTTGCACGACACATAAATCACTTCATGTCATTAATAAAATGTAAAACATAAAATTATACCCAGATCATTTGACTTACGTCATAAGAAAAGAAAAAAAACGATAAGATCGCACTAAAAAACGCGAGTCGCGAATCAACATAAACATATTGCATCGCAATTCTGAGATGCCGGATAAACATGAAGATACTGTAACATACATATATAGATATACTATGTATATAATATATGAGACGAGATGATCGATGCCTCTATATACGTGTCTCACAGTTATGACAATATCGCGCATATCGTTATCCTTCGCCCTGTCTGGGACGACCGAAGGAGATTGCGCGGAGGATTAATGTCGTGTCTTCTCCTTCGAGTTGCATCAACGTCGTGGAATTTACGCCCGTCGCGTGCGTTTCGCCGCAAATTTTTATCCGCAATCGTGTCTTATCCATGTGATCTAATCGCGTATTCCCGGTAGCGTCGCCTACGAGACGACGACGGGACCCCGCGTTTATATGCACGCGGTTACCGAATCCGCCCGGGCCTTTGACTTTTTCACCTCCAGACGGGATCATTGATTTCGACGAAGGCCGCGGCGCAAAACGCCTAAGCTATTTGCGGAGCGTCCGTACACCTCCCTGGACTATCGAACGTTTCCTTTTGTTTGTATACCTATTAGCTCGTGCGCACTTTCGATTCATAAGACTCACGCTGTGAATCAGAGAACTCTCCCTGTTTCACTCAATATTTATATGTATATTGTATTCATTTAAATGCCTTAAGACAAAAATACAGGGTTCAAATAAGCGCGAAAAATTTGAGATGATTCTTTATCGAAAATTAAGGGGGATTTATTATATAAATGTTTGTTCTTACATCTCTCCTTTTTTCAGACAAATTAAAAAATTGAAACTTGGTGGATGTATTCGACTAATGAAAAGGATATTTATTATTATTAAAAAAAAAAATAAAAGTTTAATTTTTATCTCTCTCTTTAGAAAAGTGTAATCCCTGAGAGAGGGATATAAGAGTATATGTTTATATAAGAAACCCCCCTTGATTTTCGAAGAATCATCTCAAGTTTTTCGCACTTATATACTTTCTATAAATATGAAATTGTACGTCTGTCTTGCATATCCTGAAATCTTTTTCTTCGACATTTTTTAAAGAAATGTCGAATTCTGTTTTACAAATCATTGTATTACTGATAGAATTACAAATGATGAAGCTGCCGATGAGGTGTCAAGGATTATAAATGCTCTTCTATAATTGTACCGCTTACTTTACATTCGAGAGAAGAGAAATGAACACCCCGAAATTCAACACCGATACCAATCTCGGTGTGAACCCGCCATATGTCGTACGCGGATACACGTGGAATGTATAGTTGAGCCGCATAGTGATCGCATGTCCTCATGTAGTCATCAACTATATATGATTTTGGCCATCGGTTTGCGTCATCGACGGCTCGCCGTGTTCGAGCATCGCATGAATGAAACGAGAGAAGAGAACGTGCACATATACATACATACATATATATATATATATATATATATATATATATATATATATATATATATATGTACGTCGCACTCGCGCACTCGTGCGTGTATATGTATGTGTGCGTGCGCGCTCACGTGCGTATATACGTGTGTAGGCGAGAGGCTCCAGCATTTAAATGGGATTTAAAGCGAACGCACAGCCGAAACGGGTTGCGGAGGTCGCGTTTTAACCGTGAACGACCGTGAGAAACGATTCGGCGTCGCTCTTGAATTATACGCGACGCGTCTCCGTTACGTTTTATAGCGCTATAACGAGCGCTCTCGTTCAAATCTCTTACACAATCGACGATTCCTGTCCGAACAATGAGGAGAGACGCTACCGAAAACGGATTAAAGTCTATACATGAGACATAAATTAGATTTTCGTCATTTAATAATTTTATTTTTAATCAAACATTTTTTTCCATTGATCAAAGTTGTCTTTTTAAAATATATGTTTTCTAAGATTCGTGGAAGGCGTGAAGCGCCTTCTAATTATTTCTAAATTGTAATTGGATTACGTAAAAGGTGCGAATATAAACTTGCCATGCTTTGTTAATCATCGACGACTTCTTTAAGCAAATCCTTTGCCGTCCTATTACTTTCTAACACTCGGGTGTGTCTAATTTCGGACGGTTGATCAAAGCGTACCTCGTGCGCTCGAGGTTCGTGTGATTTCGCAATCGTAGCTTGCCAAGCGCTTATTTAATTACGAATGTTTGCCAACGATAGCGAGTCTGTTTCGACTCTTTACATTCCACAGGCAACGTGTAACGACATCACGGTAAGGCGCTTACATTTCGAATGCTCCCATTATCGCCACTTAATCGTAATTCAGCCGAGCATTTATTATTATTTATCGATACTTATCAGTATTATTTTATCATTAGCGGGAATTATTAACAACTGAATCTAATTACTTTAAATTTTACGGTCTGCGGAATACTTGTTCGGCCTCGACTCGGCCATTGACCAAGGTCTTCGAGCAATACGATAATCTACCAAACGTATAGAGCTGAAATTGGAAGCAACATTTTTATGACTGAACCTTTTTCTCTTTCTCTCTCGCGTGCTTAATACGATTACTCGTTGCATAACAAGGATCTTGTAAACGCGGAATCTGTTGTAGCTCTCTCATATTCACGCGTTTTCTGCGACACGTTAGATAACTGAACCGCAGAACCGCATAATTGAATTTGGAGTTTACGTGCAGTCGCGTATATATATGCATACGTTTAACTGTATTTTCTCGACTCGTTTGATTTCAGACTGTCTCGTCGAGAAAATTCGTACCGGCGAATTATTTACTCGATTACGAAATAAATAATATACATTATCGTTCGATAAATATTTTTCTTCGGAAACGTCATCGCGATGTTATTACACGTGATTGCTCTTTCAGCGATATCCTTTGTATATTATGTTTATATCAAAGAACGTAAACGAACATTTTTTTTTTTTTTTTTTTTTTTTTTTTACGGACTTATACGTCATGAGTGATGTATCGGCCACGTGAAACCGCTCAAAAATCAACGACACGCACGGCTTGCCGGGAATTTTGCACGGCTCGAGGACACGTCGCCTTCTAACGCGCCTTTGCCATTAGCGAAGGTCACGTGGAAGAGAAATAATGGCAAAACTTCTCAGGTGGCTATCAAGGCCGCCGAATTTTTTCCCCTTCTAACGGGACCGCGTTATTTCTGGTGTCGTTGAACGGTCGATCGATATAGCAAGGTTCGGCCTTGGTATTGAGCCTACATATTAATCGATCTTTCCTTGACGGTATTGCGATCCGAACGAGGGCAGTCACCGCGAGATGATTTCGATTCATTATTCGGCAGCGTTTCGCTCGATCATAAAACGATAAGTGCCCTATAAATATCATTCTGCGAATACTAGGGCATCTATGTATAGTAATGATCGATTCGCGAGGCAGTACTTTCACAATTTTGCATCGTGCTGTAAAAACTCCGGAATTTATTTTTTTTTCAAACACAGTTAATGATATTATTAATTACAATATCGTTAAGAAAATAATTACGTCTAAATTTCTAATATATAAATCTATGTATTTCTAAATCTTATTATTATTTATTGTATATTATTCACTACACCATTTCTAGTCCCAATAAAGTATGACAAAGCCCGTCGATTTAAAATGCTTATTTATTATAAATTCGGTTATGCTGGATTGTGAAAGAGTGACTCGAAAAATCGTATAAAATACTTAACGTAGAATATTTAATGTCCCGAATCTTTTATATGATAATCGCCTGTGTTCACACACAAAGGCTCAAACCGCTAGGAAACCCGGTCAAGTTAAAACGATTTCGAAACGTTTACAAATGTTTCCTAACCGGGCGGTATCGCCGTGTCGGCATCGGTGTGCTTAATTAATAAGAGGCTCCCCCTTTTCCCAAAATTTTTTGCAGAAAGTCCTAGACGACAGACTGGACGACAGGGTCGACGGTATGCTGGAGGTCGGTTTGCTGCAGGAACTACTCGACTTTCATCGCAGGTACAACGAACAACGGATTAAATCCAACACGTGAGTGCACCTCTTAATGTCACCTCGTATTGAAATTCGATGTAAGTTCAAGGATTCGCTGTCCCGTCTTTTTTTCTTCCTTTTTCTCTCTTAATTTTCTTATTTTTAATTTAACAACATTTATTTGTCTAAATCTATTGTGTCAGATATGAGCTCTTAACGTCGATATATTGACAGGAATATTATATATAAAATTTGTCTTTAATTTATCATTTTTACAATTTTTTTTATATCATAAATTTTATTATTGAATGCTGATTGTGATCAAATAACAGCATGTTTAAACATTTGGAAATAGGAATCTGAGAATAATAGAATTATAAAAATACTGGTATTTATGAAACGTGGGATTATAAATTATAAACGCACGTGTCAAATTTGCTATGTAAATTATGATGAATACCTAACAATTGTTGTGTGAATACTTCGAAATAATGCTCAAAAATATTATATGAATTAATACGGGACTTTACTCAGTTCGATCATACGTGTCTTAATTAGCATCTTTCTGAAAAAACTTTGCGAACATAATAAAATAAAGTTTCCTTATTGCAAATGGAAAATGTAAATGGAAATGCGTCAAGGATAACGAGTGAATCAGTATGCGAAGTTATAGAGCTTATCGTGATTTGTGGTGATAAATGAAATCTTTTTCGACTCTCGTTCCAATATATATATATAATTTTGTTCATTAGATATGCTATTTATTTTTAACAGTCAATATTTTTTCCCTTCCTTTAATTATAATAGAAATTCCGATAAATTTCTTTAATAGCATTTTATTTTTGGAGCATATTTATATACAGGTCGAAAGGCTATCTTTACTCCTTTCATCTATAGATCTTTTGATTAAGTTAACATCTGCTCTGTTTTGATGAAAATGTGCCAAATTTTAGTATTTTATATTGCCTTGGTAAAATAAGTATTTTGTGCATAGATACAATTTTATTATTTATTTTGCATTTTCGAAGATTAATGTCAATTAAAAATTGATTAACAGAAAATATATAAAAAGATAAACTTTAATTTTGGAATATTCTATAAAATTTCTTTTTATGTATATGTAATATACATGAGTCAAGTCTCAAAAATCAGAGATATATTACTTCTTCGTAATGGCATATAATACTAAAAGAATCAAATTATAATTTATATATCTGACAAACATAGACGGAAAAAAATATTAATATACAAATAAACTTTAACCATGAAAAATATAATTCTAAAATAATACGTAATTTTAAAATAAAAAAAGGATGCATATTTCAATTATAAAAAATTCGATTAATCTATTTTAAAGACAGATCACGCAATCTCGCAATAAAAATTGTATAAATAAAATATATGTAGAGTACCAATAGAAACATTGAATGAAAAAATTGCTGATATTGTAAAATTGAGAAAAAAAATTATTTTTTATAAAAGAAGGAACATACCCAAACTCCCTTTCATTCGGTATCGACTTTTTTTATCGCGGTTGTAGTCAAGATTAAAAAATGAAATAAAATTTTCATCGTGAGCATGTGTCTTAGCGAATGCAGGCACGTTCGCACGCGTACTCCGTGTCGATGCTATGCGTGTCGGCAAAGTACATGATCTGACGACTGCTCTTATATAGCCGTTAATGCGGACATGCTTTATGAATGAAGCCTACACGCTTCGCCTTACTCGTTTCCGGAAGTTGCGGCCGGATGTCGGTGTGAAAATAAAGGAAGTAGCCAGCCGCGAGGAAAAGTACGGGCGCGCGATTACATATGCTCTCAGTGTTGGACCGAAAATTAATCATCATTTAATGAGCTTGCCTCTCTCTCTTGTTCTTCCTCCTCCCTTTCCTTCGGAGGAATGTATTATATGTGGCGTTAGATAATCGAAGCGTGGTTTTCGATATAACCAATGTCAATTCTAGATTTTCACCGTCTCAGAAGTAAAGGACGTGATAGTGCGGAATAATAATTACTCGGCGTATCATGGTAATTGAACGTCGCAATTAGCAACTTGACTGACATAGGGATAGGCATATTTCTCATGTGCAAATATGTGATTAACTCCAAGGTAAATATGTAATCAACCCAAGTTAATGAACAAAAAGTTTTTTTTATTTGAAAAATTAGTTTGATTCACACGGCAGGAGAGATTCGAAAATTTTTAAATTAAACACATTCGTGTTTATTAAGCGTAAATATTAAGATTAAATTCAAATGACGTCAAGTTAATCGCAAGTGCGATGAATATATTATTCGGAGTGCAGAAATTGAATCATTAATTATAGAAGTGCAATATTGTTCCGATAGAGCGTATAGTAGATAGGAGCGACAATATCAATTATATTTTATTACAACCAATGTAGTGATCAAATGTGACATGTTAGATAGATTATGAGAAAATATAATAGTAATAGAGTAGAGAGAGCGAGAGAGCAATGAGAAAATATCATGTGTCGCGATTACGACAGACAGATCGGGAGGGACTGACTGCGAAGAAAGTGCTGTCTGAAAACTAATTATTTTATTACGACCAATAGCAGTGCGCCATACGGGTGATAAATAATAGCGTGGCAGAAGTTTAGTCGCGGAAGAAAACGGCATCGATGTAACTTTCTTGATCGCCAGCCAGAAGTTAGTAAGAAACCCTGAACAGTCACAAAAGACATTAGTTAGTTTTGAGTTTGCGTGTAACTATGTTTTCACAATGTGAAAGAAATCGTCGTTTTTATAATTTAGCATGGTCTAGGGATTTACTATAGAGATCAATTTATAAAAATGTTAATGTGCACGAATGTGCAGAAAATTAAATCCAGTTAAGAGGAGTATTACTACTTAATCTTTCTGTGAATATATAAAAAATGTCGCAGGAAATTATTCTGGAGCTGATTTTTGATAAATTTATAATTCAGTGTATACCATATAGACATTCAGGAAAAAAATATTTCTTTAATTGTATTAACCTCAACTAAAAGATATAAACTTTTTTCAAAGATCTACGACTCTCTCAGTACGATTGCTTTATCCATTTCGCATATTTGATGAACGAACGTAACCTGACGTTCTCTTTTCTTAGAAAGGAATGAAAACTAACGCATATCACACGATAAGATAATGTTACCACTTTGCACATCGTGTCACATTATACATAAACTGCACATTTTTGACCGACGTATCGTACGTTTATATTGATGCTTATTATATATACAAGTCGAGTATCTTTTACATATTGTTTTTTTTTACAGCTTTATCGGAAAGATATGAGACTGTGCAAAGAAAAAAAAAAGGTCTTAAAAATAATATAATATAATTTAATTGGACTGATATACATATATTCTCAATTTTATTATTTTATATTTATATGTGTGTTTGTGCAATTGTTGTACACAATAATATTATTCAGCTATCTTCATATGCTTTATTTATGCAATAATATTAAATTGGAATACATGTATTATTTTTATTACGCAGATTCGTTTAGTTTTCTTACTTAACAGAGCAATTTTTAAAGTCGCACGCAAACAAGCAAGCTGTCGCATTAAATCACGGAACTCTGCGGTCAGTCGCGGGTCTTGGTTCTTGCAATTATTTTATTTGCTGTGTTTCATGCCCGAGAGAGAGAAAGATCCGACCAACGTTTCACACCGCGTCATCGGATTCCGCAAGAATCTGATATCCCGTCGCGAAATATTTCGCTTATCGTACCTATGCGCGCGTTTCCTTCGCAAAGAGAATCAACGTGAAGGAAACCTATTATTATTAGCACGCGATAACATCCACGAAGTTTGCCGGTCGCGTGAAGTTGATTGATCGTTCTTAATTGATCCTTAACTTACCTCAGCATTTCGAAAATGTTCGAATGTAGCGGGCGAAATTTATAAGTAGCCTAGTTCCAAGTTTGATACGTAATAAAAATTTAGATAAAGAAATGAAAGAGAAAATTGAGATTTACGATCCACTTAAGTTGCTAAAAATTAATTAGAAAATTAATAAAGGACGATAAAATCGACTTTTAATCATTTGTCATCAACTTTCTAAGAATTGCAGTGATATAATTCTATAATATAAAGAGATGACCTACGATTACATACATCTTTATTTAATGTATTATTTAATATAAGGATGCAGATTATTTAATATAAGGATAATATAAGGATGCAGATTGGAGAAAACGCGAATTTTACTATCACTCAATTTTGCTTGCGAAACGATTGCACAAATTTTCTCGATTCTTCACGTGCTGCGTGCTGTAAGTCTATTTTACAATTTACAATTTCCTGCTGCCAAGATGCATATTCTACTTTCGACATAAACTCACATAAATCGATGATTGCTGTCGAATCTGGGTCGATCGTTCCTATCGGGCAAGCTTTGCGGTGATATTCGGCATTTTCTTCGCTCGCCAAGTTCTGTGTTATTGTACGGTGATAATAGCGGGGAAAGTCGTGCAATGCAAATATAGAAGGGCATCGGTCACGCTCACGTTTATTGCCGGACTCGTTCTCGTACTTACACGCGGATGAGCCGCCTCGAGCCGCCTCCTCTTTCAAGATTTACACGTTACGAAATTGCTTCGTGATCGCGCGGCCCAGATGGAATTGTAATGAAAAAAACATAACACCCACGTGTGGGGCAATCATATTAGAAATCATATTAGAAGTCTCTCCCGTGCGGCAATATATAGTGGGTTTCCCTTCCCCGCAGATAAAATTAATTAGAAGATTAATCGATACCGTCGTACACGTGTTTTTATCGTTTTGTAATCTACTGTGTGATGTGAAATGATTATTATAGAGTTACCCGCGATATTTTTCATTATTTTTTATCTTTTTTTTACTTGAAGTTTCAAAGATTTTTAATTAATATTCAATTATTGGCATATATATATATAAAATCTTTGAAACTCCAAGTAAAAAAAAGATAAAAAATAATGAAAGATAACTACATGCATTAAAAAGTGACAACTGATTAGTTTCAGCAATTTCCTATTGGATATTCTGTCATCAATATATATATATT